TAGAGCAGTGAGATTCATAACAAATGAATATTCAAATTTGACTAGAGTAACATCTATAGTAAAATCACTAAATTTAGAAAGCCTTCAGGACAGAAGACTCAAAAGTAAAGTAGCAATTATACATAAAACACTGAACCATAATCTTCAAATACAAAAACAAAATTTAATAAAATACTCTGAAAGACACAAAGATAAAGGCACATTCCTCGTCCCATATGCTAGGACAAATTTGTACAAATACTCCTTCTTCCCTAGTGCTATTAGAGCATGGAATGGGTTGCCTGAGCTGGCCAGGAAAACCAGTGACTTGGCAGAATTTAAGTCATTGGTTAATATGCATGACTAAATGCATGACGCGTAGGACGTAATCATCTTCTTTTTTTGAAGTAACGTCTGTATTATATAAGATAAGAAGAAGATTTAAATTGAGTTGATTTGACTTTTGTGTTTCAGGGTATGGAAATGCACGCAACTCATTGCTTTTGACTAAGTCTAACACTCATCAAATCCTTTTTCTTCCATATTGTCATTAAATCATGGAACAAGAGTTGCTTGAGTCAGTCCAGAAAACCAATGGTTTAGTAGAATTTGTCTTTAATTAACTTGCACTAGATTTACATGTAGATACGCGTAGGACGTATTTATGCTCTGTGAAGAAGAAACATCTGTAATTTTTAAGAGGTCATCAAGGCCCCCCTTTTTTATGTGTCCTAGAAGAGGCTAATGTTTTTTTTCATTATTAAAAATATTTGTTCTGAAAATGTTATTTTCTGTTCCTGAAAATGTAATGCTTCAAGGTATTTCACTTGGGATGTATGGCATAAACCGTGGACCTCGGAAATCCATAAATAAATAAATATATATAGACCTATATATCAGGACTGAGTATTCTACTGTGCTATAGTACGGTTGCCTGGTCGTGCTGTAGGCGCGCCGAACTGTCGTTCGGTCGTCTCGATGGTCCCGGGTTCAAACTCTGCCTTTTGCCACCCCCTGCGGTAGGTTTGGGGTAAGATGCAGATTATCTTCCACTCTGAAGGAACATCGCAAACATGTAAAGTATTTTACTAACACCGTGTCGACGTCACTGTCGTCACTAATTCAACCTGCGGGCCAAATTAAGTTCCGACACTCGTGTCGCGGGCCACATGACCGAAAAGGTACAAAAACGGAAAGAAACTGATCTGAAAGATTTTTAATAGAAACCTGTTGATCTAGTAAATACTACTTGCTGTGCTTACATTAATTAATGGCATATCAGACAGATATGTTGTTTTTTTCCGTCGGAAACGGCTTCATTTCTCTACTTAAAATGTGAACAAAATTATAGGTAGCTAGCCAACGATTCATTTTCTTGTCTCTTTTTGGTAAATATTCCCATCGATCCTCCAATTTCTAGGCGTAGTTTAAAAATCTTTTTAGTCGCGGCTCAAACCAAGGTCATTGTGCCAATCCATCAGAGGGCCCTAACGTAGCTAAGACATTACTCAACATTTTCCTTTTGGAAAAATGTGTGTGGGGGGATTCACTACTCTTCGTGTCGACGTTTCGGCGGGCCGGATGAAACCATGTCGCGGGCAGTATTTGGGGCATCATTGGTCTACAAGAATGAAACCACTTTCTAACTATTGCGGGGCCGTATGCAAAATGGAATTGCTGAGAGGGATCCGTCTGGGTAGGGATAATGATAATAAGTGAAAACTAAGATTTTGTTTAGAAAAAAACAACTTCTTTGCATTTTATTCCTTCTTTACTGAGTACAATATCACTGTCATATATCAGTTTTAGAACCCCTGTAATATTTGGTGACTAGTAGTCACTGAACTATTTCGTGCAGTTAGCACGAGATTTTTCCTGGTTGGGGACTGACCACGAGGTGGACACCTCAGTTGATCTTGGGCTCTCGTAGAGAGAGGAATATTATGGATATCTTGTCCAGTGTAGTAATGTGTGATATCTAAAGTATTCTATTGGATTCTAATGTACAATGTTTTGTGTATATTTCTTGATGGCTGGACTTGCCAATATCTTTTGTGAATTATATTTTATGTGAATAATATCCATGTCTGCTGACCTGGAGTCTATTAATAATTCTAAATGTTGTGGTCGTAGCATTCAGTGTGTTAATGTTCTCACGCACCTGCAAATATAGTGCGTGTGAGAAAGTATTTAGTTAAGAAGAACATTATAGAAGTACCAGAAGAGGTATCTACAACACACAACGACATTCGCGTCATCACGCCTACAACAAAAACCAGGCTGTGACAATCACGTTCAAGTTAACTTTACGAGCCTTGCGTGTAGCGAAGTCATACAGTAGGCCTAAATCATCAAAATTCTGTTTCCTGCATAGGTCACGCTCAAAAGCAACAGCAAGCATTGCCGAATTGTTCAATCTATCTTTGTGAATTGTTGACCTCTAGTAATTGAATGACACCCCAATATGACAATTGCGTCTATTTTTCAAGAGATTTTTATTTCAGGAGATTTCCATGAGCCCGTGGACAATCGGGAAGCCGCGGGAACCCTGTAATATAATTTATAATGGTTTATAATATACATCAGAATTAGCGAGGGGACTATAAAAGTGCGGGGCCCTCTGCGGCCGCATAGGTTGCAGTGACCTAAGACCGGCCCTGACCATACGATAATGTTAATATTGAACTCACCAACCTCGTATTCAGTACTCTAGTTTTCACCTCACTTGTATTATTTTTTTAGCTATTAATTATTTATGGGCTACAAGAAGAGGCGCGGTGGCTGAGCGGTACAGCGCTTGGCTTCCGAACCGGGGACTGGGGTTCGAATCCAGGGATTTTTAATTTCGGGATCTTCGGGCGCCTCTGAGTCCACCCAGCTCTAATGGGTACCTGACATTAGTTGGGGAAAAGTAAAGGCGGTTGGTCGTTGTGCTGGCCACATGACACCCTTTTGGACCACGAGGTCTGGATGGGAAACTATACTTGTTTTTTTTTTTTACATGAAGACCATCATGATAGCTTTGACTCTAGTATCTGAAATTGTCATGTAGAGTTGTGCATCGCACTTGGGGAACTCTTAAGGCCAGCAAAAGCGAACAAGAGCTCCCTTCTACCGGCCTGAAGTGGGAGGTGTGTTCCTCGTTCACGCCACCCTGTCTGACGGGGATTGATTTTGCGTTCACTTCCGGTGAACACGGACACTCCAGACTCGCGGACTAGAGACTCGGTCGAAGGCCGCACCACCGGGACCCCGTCATGTTCCTTTAATCTACCAGGCTGGCTAACCGTGTATCACTGGTATAAACGAATGAATGTTGAATCTGTCATTCTGAAATGTTTTAATCTGCACATCCATTCATTTTTTTTTTTTACAAAGAATTGAACAATATCAAGGCGATAGACAAATGAATTGTCATACAGCTCTAGAATAGTCTGGATTCTACATAAAGCTCTAGAATAGTCTGGATTCTACATACAGCTCTAGAATAGTCTGGATTCTACATACAGCTCTAGAATAGTCTGGATTCTACATACAGCTCTAGAATAGTCTGGATTGTACATAACGCTCTATAATAGTATGGATTCTACATAAAGCTCTAACATAGCCTAGATTCTACATACAGCTCTAGAATAGTCTGGATTCTACATAGAGAATATATAGTCTAGAATCTACGTATGAAATCTTAAATTTATGAAAACGTAAAGAAACAATTATTAGGAAGCACATTTTGTGTTACCGGGTATTCCATTAGAATCTCATTTTGGAATATTTGTTAACGTTCACTTACAATGGACCGCATTCACCAAAAAGAACGGTCACGTGATAATATCGATAAAACAAATAAACTGTCACGTGATAACAATTGATGATTAAAATTAGATCGTAATTTGTATAGAAGAGATATAGAATCACGTGACCCAATGTTGTTTGTCTACGATTGGTGAATCATATTAATATATCCAATAAAACCTTACTAATGAAATTTTGATTATCAATCTCTCTTTCGCTAGGCCGCAGAAAAGTGTTCTATTCAGTATTGAATGAAAGGAACTAAATATAGAGTCCAGGTGTTCTATCTTACGGTAGTAATAAAGCTTTAGGCTACTTACAGCAAGCGTTCTATCTTACGGTAGTAATAAAGCTTTAGGCTACTTACAGCAAGTGTTCTATCTTACGGTAGTAATAAAGCTTTAGGCTACTTACAGCAGGCGTTCTATCTTACGGTAGTAATAAAGCTTTAGGCTACTTACAGCTAGTGTTCTGTTTTCATTCGGCACGCCAAGGATGCACAACATAAACTTAAAATGTCGAGGAAGTGAAACAATAAATAAACAAAAAAATGAATGAAATTGTCCATATTTATGTTTGCCTAACTAAGAATCAGTAGACATTAGCTCAAATGTACGCCTGCGCAGAAAGTATAATTATTTATATATATATATTATATAGATGATTTTATTCGCTTTAAAGAAGAAATATACAATGTATCATGTCATAATTCCCAGGGTCTCGCATAAGCTGCTTGATTTAACCTGACACGTGCTGTGTTTGCAGTCTCCTAAGGTAGCAGCATATGTAAACCTCTGAAATACCCAACCCCCCCCCCCCCCCCCCCCCAAAAAAAACAACATTTTTTTTTTTAAATTTCAATCCAACAGGTCCAAGAAAGAGATTGGACCATACTAATACCGTATCAGAAAGGTGCGAAATAAAAATGTATTTTTTTTAAAGCTCTTGATTTGAGATTTTAGGTTCGAAGGAATGAGTTTTGGTATACCCTCTTCACATAGATTTATAAAATACTTCAGACATGACATTTTACAGTACTTGGTATTGGCTGGCTATGACCAATTCTTTACAATGGGTATACCTGATATAACAATTTCACTGCTACCGGACTTTAAATATATTTTAAAATACCCAGTAACAATGGAAGTAATGCAAACTAACAGGCTAGACGAGACAAATATTGTATAAAATATTAAATAAAGGAAATTTAATAACTTTATAAGATAAGAGTAGAATAAAGAACCTCAATCTTTTAATTAGTAAACAAAATACATTTTTTGATAGAAGATTGTGACTGCACTTTTTTTTTCACCTAAAAAAAAAAACTGTCATGGTAGCGTGGGGTATTCTTAACTGAATGTGGTCTAATTGTTTCCAGTTTCATTAAGATTGATAATTTATTTATACAAGTCATACCCCAGTAAATCAAATTTGTTTACTGACTTCAATCTGTTCCTACATCTGACATGCTATAGTTCTTAAAAACATTTAAATTTAGGGCTTCTATTGTGAGAGGTACATTAATCAGCCTCTGAAAAAATGTACAGTAATATTTATGCCAAGCTTCATGAAGATTGGTCAAAGGGTTTTGAATTCCTTTCTATATTACACGACTTAATTTAACAACTGGAGAATGGAAAACTTTGCTAACATAGTTTTATAACATGTTTTAACACATTATTGTTATAATTATATAGAAATTAGACTAATTGAAAACTTTATTAATATTAAGTATACTGGATTTCGAATAGACCCGAAGAGACAATAAACTAACAAGTATCAGCCTGAAAGCAGCTATTCAATGGAATCACTGTCAGAACCAGGTGTACCACTAGAGCAAGGGGATGATATCTTCAAACCATGTTTAAGTACAAGAATCTCTCTCTCTGGCATTTTAAGAATGTGAGACAATCTTTTCCCTCATTTATTTTCACCCTTCTTTCTACTACTGTTGTGTAAGTACAAGAATACAAAACAGAAAAAGAGTGATAAAATTTTGACCATTTTATTATATTAATTTTGTAAGATTTTAAAACGATGTCCTAAAATAAAAAATATCACAGTGTTAAATTCTGGGAACAAAATAGAATAATAAAAAATGGCCATGTAGTGATACAAATTTCTACTCAATCCAGATACATTTTAAAAATTATGGTTCAATAACCTTTTTTTTTTTAAAGAATAAAATCAACACGTCAAAACATGAGCCTAGACCAGTTCTAGTACAGGTACTAGTAAGTGTTCAAAAGTCAAGATGTAAGCCTAAACTAGTTCTAGTAAAAGTTCAAAATTTTACATTGATACTTATGTTTTATTACTTGGTACATTTGTTTGCAATTTTGTTTGGTGTGTGCAACATCTTTCAATAGCATTAAAAGAATGCAATTATAGATCAATAACATAGAATGCTTCCATTTAGTTGAATGCAAAAATAAGTCAGCTGATCACCTATACTGCAGAGTTTGTCTTTTGAATGGAACATGTTTTCAACGTGCTTAACAGCAGAACATTGGCTGGGTGCAATACAAAAGGAAGTTTGCAGAAGAGATAAATGTTAAAATGATATCATTATAGAGCAAGGGCTATAAACACTTGTTTGGGTTGTCTACATATCCATGTACAAGCATGCAAAAAAATGAAACAAAAATATAATAACACAGGTCAAAATGTAAAAAAAGATGTTTGCATTGGGATATCGAGTGGGGGCACTTTCCAGCATCTATAAACTTAAAACAAATGAGTTTCATGATGCCTAATGGAAAGGTGCAAGGAAAAAAAAAAAGCAACATATAAAATTTATAATGACAACTGAATGAAAAAAAACAATCTTTTTACAGTATATTACATATAAAACAACAACAAACAGGTTTACAATAAGTTAAAGGATCGTTAAGGGCCCCGTCTATAAATGATAACATTTTGTCATCTATTTCTAGTCTTTCCTTAACAGTTCTTCCAATCAAAGCTTGAGGATCAGAATTAATTCACAGAGAACTGTCAATGATGATATATGGAGCACAATACTTATTCCAAGCACCTTTTCTTGGGTTTAATGGAAAAAAAGATTTTTTTAAACCATTCTTATTTCCCAGACATTTTGGCAACCAACTGTGCTTTCATTTCTTGAGCCAACTTTTCAAGTTCAACTATTTTCTTCCTCAATTTTTCATTAGCTACTATTAGATCTTCTGCCTCTTGGTCCATTTCTGCAAATTTTTGTTTCCGCTGTTCTCTTGATCGTTTAGAGGCAACGTTGTTTTTCATCCTCCTAACAGCTTGTTTATCAGTGATACCACATTCTTGACCCTGCGTTATAGAGCTTGAGCTGTACTCCGAATCGTGGCTTAAATTATTGAATTGAGAAGTTGAGGTATTATCTTGAGAGAGCTTTAATAATTTGGCAGTGTAATCATGATCAAGCTGTGTGTCGACCGCTGCTACTTTTTTTTCAAGTCTTGCAGGGATTTCAAACATACTTGTCTTAAGTACAGTCTCTTTTGTTTTAGTATTTGATAATTTACGTTTTCGAGATGTAAGTAATGGTATTTCCTTAACAACAGTTGTGTTAGTAGTTTCTGTTTCACCAATAGCTTGTTTCATGTTGCCTGGTGATATGTTGATTACTGGACTTACTTCTGCAGTCATATCAAACACATTTTCCTGCAAAAGAAAAAAATAATGTACCAGGTAATAAATCTACACAATTCATGTTAAACTAAAGTATTAAGATGCTTAATTAAAATAACGCAAGATCTTAACTTTCCACAATTCCTAAATATACAAATTGTGTGGCTGAGAGGTAAAAACTACTTGGCTAATATAAAGGAGGCTGGAGTTCAAATCAGGACTAGAGCAGAGTTGTATTCGCCGAGCATCTAAAATCAGCACAGAAACCTCCCAGATCCTCTCCCCTCCCAAGACTGGCTCAAAAAGAGATTGGACCATAAGCACACTGAGCATGCTGTAAGCATGAAAGTTACTTTATACAAATTACCTTTGTAATTAAAAAAATGACTATAATAAAGTTAGAGGAAAGTTCACATAATTCAATTATCTTCTATTATCTAACAATTGTAACAAACATTTCTTTCTTCTTTTTAATTAGAAGATTAGTACATTCTAATTATTCAGACTTAAAAAAAGCCAGGTTCAACCTAAATGTAACATTTTAAAAATAAAAGTGATTTAGCAAGAAATACATTCTCTAAGTACTAATAGGAGGTGCAGTTTGATCCACTTACTCCTGCTAGAATTGTGTCTAAGTTTATAAATTCATCCAGGCTGTCGTTGCCAAGATGATCAGCCTCTAAATCTCCAAGAGGGTCAAGGAGATCCCAGCTATCCATCAAAAAATTATCATTCCCTAAATCCAATTTAGAAGTTCCAGGATTATCTATGCTGTAAGTGGCAGAGTCAGAAAATAGATCACTGATATCATTGGAGTCCTGGCTGGTGACATCATGGGCGCCACCAGCAAAGCCTAGCAAACAAACAAGCATTTTATTCTTTAAATATGTATTGACAAACAATGATAATATAAATTTTACCAAAAAAAAAATTTAAAGAATAAGTACCAAAAATAAAGCTGTCAGAGTCTATCATTACAATCACAACGTTTTTCCTTTTAATTGTTTAATTTCAAATGTGGCAGGCAAGTGTACACATATCACAACCACTGATAAGTGTTTACATCTTGCAAGATAGGGCCTGGCTAAAATTATAGTATCTTATTTATTTTTATAATTCAGAAAACTGATTGAAGAATTGCAGGATATAACTAATATAAGCATTTAAATGCTTTGGAAATGCTTAGTAAAGGTTAACCCATTTATTTCCATTTGTGGTGTAATACAAAAATGATATAAGCATCTATTTATAGTACATGGCTAAGAATATAATCAGTGTTGTCATTGGCTGTAAGTAGGTCATGTGACCAGGTAAACCCTACCTGAAGTCCCAGTAAACAAATGTTATCACTATATTTTTTAGCACTTTTTAAGTTTTCAAGCATTGTAACAAACATCTTTGGGTATTTTAATTCAGATAGAATTAATTAGTATCCTAACCAATGAAATGATTTTAAAGAATCCCATTTTTTTTTTTATCTTTGACATATTTGTATAAACAATGTATGACAAAAATTGAAAAGTGAAACATCTTGAATATCAGCAAGTCTTTTAAAAGCAAAATGTAGCTGGAGAAGGGGCTTATTAATTTTGGGTGTGAGAATTTTTTTTTGTCATAGGAGAGTCCTTACACATCTGTTTAACTAGTATATAGAACAAGAAAATGAGAAAGCTTTTTATAGAATGTCAAAAACACAAAATAAGTTAATATAGTCATAGAGTAGTGTTTTAAATAAATTCAGCCACAAGAGTTGAATGGGTAGTTAGACTAGTTAGAGGTTAAATCAGACATCTTACTTTTTTTTTTTTTTTAAATTTACCAGGTACATTTTGGACTAAGGGGAAGCCATCTACGTTTTTAGATCTACCTGTGTCAAATAGGCCACATGTCTTCTGAGGCGAACGTAGGGAAGTGCTGGATATCATGGGAACCCAAGGTTTCAGGGCCCGCCTTGATATCCAGCAAGTCAACCAACTCGTCAAGAGAGTGAGGTAGATCTAAGTCAACGTCCTCGTAAAAGCTCATTTCCTCTTCCATGTTTGTCTCCTGACCACAATTAAACCCTGTAGATGCCTCTGCAAAAGCCGTGGACTCAGTAAACTGTGAAAGTAGATCTAGATCTATGTTTAAATTATCCTGTTCCAAAAATTCTTCCGTGATTGATAAACGCGAAGAAGCCACGGCCCAGCTGGCGTTCTACTTGTCCTTCTCTGAAAAAAATAAACACAGGATACTTCAATGAAACAATTATTTCTGGCTTTGACTTTGAAATTAGTGTGGCACAAACAACAATATCTAATAATTTTTACATTAAAGATGATTATTAATTACCTTAAGATGTTTTCAAGCCCCTACTCTAAATATGTCTGACTGATGTTCCTACAACAAATATCACCTGGTCACGTGACAAAATAGTTATGGTGCAATACCTATGCTAAATTTAGAAAATGATGTAGTCAACCGCGTCCAGTCAACTTGCAGAGTTTTGTCCTTGAATCTATTCTTAGCTATCACGCTTCTATTTCAAGGTCGACAGTGAAATGTTTTAGAACATTTTATGTGATAATTCAGGTCAATTACAGTAAAACTATTAATAGTACAATGTACTTTTTCGATTTTATTTGCCGAAATAATCAATAAATAATTTTCCACCATTTTGCAGTTAATTCGTTGCACAAACCTTTCAATATCGGACATGAATGTTTTCATCGGAACAGCCAAAATATATATTTTTTAAAGACTTCTTACCAATTTTGTGATTGGATGGGGTGCACACAACAAAAGATAATCGTATTATAAACATCTATCTTTCGAGTTTAATATTTTTTAAATCAATCAATGATTAATTAATACAAGAAAATTATTTACTAACCAACATTTTTTTTACAAACAATTATTTAATCTTCTTAAATGTATCGCATATACTTTGCTAAAAGAGCTGCGAATACTAACTAAGCGAATCATCCAATCCAATTTCACGACACATCTTGAAACAATAACATCCGGGACTTTTGTCAAGTTTTACGCCATATTGTTCATTGCTACTAAATGTTTTTGGAATGCTATGTGTTGTAATAATTTTGTTTTGAAAAACAATTAGACTAGATTATACTAAACTGAAGATGCATTTCGCTCCCATTACATTTCATTGTCTTGTGATGTTTGGGCTGCTTTAATAGCAAGCACAAGGAAATGTACTCCCTAGAATAAGTTAGTGACTGATTTACACTGTCACTAATTTAATTACACTTTAGATTTACAATATTATTTATTTGCACACATTCAGTGACATTCATCATTGTTATTTATTTTTATTTTTTTTCTTTGTTTTTTTCAAAACATAGACTCTAGTCATTGAGTCTAAAATAATAGACTCAATATAGAGT